ACAAGCATCTTCCATCAAAGCTCTATACAACCGAAACAGCAATAGCCCCCCAGGCAGGGCACTAAACAAGCTGATCAAGGGTTCCCAGCTAGCTATGCAGGCCGGTGCAATACTAGCGCAGGAAAACAAGGATCTACGCGCGGTGAATGAGAAAAAGAAGCAAAAGCGAGCTAGATCTAAGAGACAGATCACTCACCAGGGCAGTCTATCAATGGAAGACGTTCAGCAGGTGATTCGGGGCCTAAACCAGCCTTCTGAAGTTGAGATAGTCACTCAGATGGCAGCGGCTGCGCCGGCTATTTCGCCTAGCCAGCGGCCAGCGCGCCGGCCACCAACGTGTAGTCTATGTGGGAATGTAGGGCATAAGATTAACCAATGTCCTAGTAGATAGCTGGATGAATTTAATGGCGTTGGTGGTTAATAAAATCGATTCCAATTTAGGTGGTGTGGTCAGGTGCGTCGCTCGCTTACATGCGTCGCTCGCTTACCGACCACGTTATATCTAAGTATTTCCTAACTTCATAATGAATCAGATAATGGAAAAGTGCCAACCGGCACTGTCACAACCAGAACAAATAAAAACAGTTACAAATCTGAATCAATGAGGTATACATCACATGACAGCCTAAATGTAGTTTAGCGAGAATTATGCAAATGCAGATGTCATAGTCTAGATCATAATGATAAATCTCATCTTCAAATACACTATGGAGTCATCACGCAATGCAGCCCACATTTAACCAAAAACAGCTAGATGGAGTGCTAGTAGCCAACAGGGGTGTGTCTGTACCAACAGCAGTGTGTGTGTAGCAGGGTGGTGTGTCTGCAGATATATCACTTCCCTTAAAACAGGGATAAGAAAGATCCAGCTTGCAACTTATTAAATGTTTAAAGAATGTTATTTTAAAGATGGCTAGAGGCAATCTAATTCTTTATATAGGCTATGATTTTAATAATCTTAGTTCTAGAGATATTCTAAAAGGTTGCTGTTAGCAAGTACAGTGTAGAGTTAATTTTAGAAATCTTCATTTAGTTTTCATTGATATCATTTTACTCAGAATTATATGGGGCTGTTATTTTCTGTATATAACTCTTGTTATTATCAAAAGGCCATTAATCATCATTCATTATGCCAGGGTCAATGAGGGTGTTAAATGACAATGAGTTATTATTATGTAAGAATAAACTGATTAATGTAATGTAATTCACAGGTGGGCGGTCCACATGAGCAAGCGGACCATTTTCGCGTCAATTTTTATCTTAAGAGAAAGAACATCGGGCTCCTTGGTATCGAGGGTCTAATATTTCTCAAGATTGGATGCTTACCAATAGCGCCAATGGCTGGAAAACAGATCAAATAGGCCTTAAGTGGCTGAAGTGTTTGATCCTTTTTCTGTTACGGGCATAGGGCGGAACGCATGTATATTAGACAAGCACCGAAGGTTTACTGGCGCTAGGCTGCAGTAGTAATAGTGCAGTCATAACCTGTTTAGGTATAGGGCCGCCTGGAGCGGGCACATGACCTCAACATTCCTTAGGGAGACCGCTGGGTGAATGTTAGAGAGACCAGTGTTCAGTCTAATCACTAATGGGACTGGCTATTACTACTGAAGTTGTTACATACATATATTACCTCCATATACACTCTATCACGCTTCTACCATAGTTTACCCCGCCAGGTGGATGACCAGTTTAACATTTTCTAAGCTGCATTCAACTGGCGCGAAGCGGTTGCTTATTCTTGATGGTCATTCAAGCCACCAAACTGCTGGATTTGATGATTTTTGCAAGAATAATGCAATTATCTGTCTTTATATGCCTCCACATACATCTCATCTTCTTCAGCCACTTAATGGTGTTTTTGGGCCGCTTAAACGCGCGTATGGAAAACTAGTTGAGGGAATGATGGCTGGAAACAACCACATTGATAAGGAGGATTTTCTATACCTATATCCTCCTGCACACAAAGAAGTATTTCTCCCCAGGAATATATGCAATGGCTTTGCAGGAGCTGGTCTTAAACCACTTGATCAAGACTGGGTTCTTGAGAAAATCACCTTTCAACTTCATATGCAAACACCACTACTATTGAAGGCTCAATATCACCTGCTCTTCAAACACCTCATAATCCTTGCCAGATTGATTGCAAGGTTCAAATTGGCCTACAAGAAGTCTTCAAAAGAAAAGGACCCTTTCTAGTAGTCCAATTCTCATATCCAGCATCTTGAAAAGGCCGTGCAGATGGCAATGAATACAAACCTTCTTCAACAAAAACCAAGGTTCTACAGGCTGAAAATGAGCAGGAAATGAAGAAAAAGGCAAGGAGGCGTGTTGCTCTAGGGAGTGATCTCTTTATATCTATACAGGCAGGTCGTGATTGTATTCAGCAACTTGATACACATCTTGAAGAGCACATTGAGCGCATCTAGGCCTTGCCAGCAAGCTCCAGCACGCTGTAGTGGCTATGGGACTGTTGGACATATAAGAAGTTGTCCTAGTAAATAGCTATATATTTAATTACTAGATAGTCTAATTTTAATTGGCGTTGGTGGTTGAAAAGCTCCAATATTCAGTGATTGCAGTGAAATGGACCACTTGCCTGTGGACTAATTTAATTATTCACATTCTTAAAATCATTCAGTATTAGCTGACAGGCATTTAAGATATTTAATTACAAGAGAGCTTCCTTTAGCTTTATAGTTCTTGTTGAAGTACTTGCAGATCTCTCAGATGTCCATTATATGCTTAAATGTTGATTTATACTGGGCATAATATATATTTTAAGGATATTCTTGAGCTTGTTTAAGAGACACCAGGCCAGACAGGCCTTCTAATGAAAGGGATTGGTAGGTCAGTTTTAGATATATTTCTCAGGCATTGCTTAGATTAGTTGGAGGATCTTCAATACTGGTGAAAAAGTTTCACTCTCAGCCCATATGACCTCTTGAACCTTAAGCTTAATATTATTGGGCATAGTTTTTCAGTCCTTGAAGCTTTGTTACATTTAGAATCATCATTTTATTAGAGGATATTTTGTAGCAGTTAGAATTGTATTTAGATATAAAGAATCAGGAATGATGATTCTAATGGGATCTAGCAAGGAGTTTCCAGCAGTTGATATAATGTTATTATTATTATTAGATTTACTAGATATAGTGATGTGGTAATGTAATCAGTAAGCGAGCTGGACACCTGTTCCCCATGTATAGTATTTAAATGCAATTATTTCAACCAAAACGCCATTAAATTAAAAAAAACGACCTAATTAGGTCTATCTGGACATGTCTCTCTTCTATGTCCTGGGGTCCTGCATATTCCACATCCCTGTGGAGGCCGCGTACGTGGCTGTAAAGGTGGTGAAGGCTGTCTTGGCTGGGAGGTGCTGGAGTTATTGGGCCCTCAATTGAGGCCTCAATTAGCTCAACAGCCTCCTGAACTGAAAGGCCACCTTCATGGGGTATCTGCCTTTTAGACTGTGTATGCTTCTGCTTCTGCTTTACATTCAAAGCACGTAATTCACTTACTTCTTTCTCAAGAATAGCAGCTGATTGCATGCCAATTTGGCGATGCTTTAAGAATCTGATTTATTGCATTCTTAAGCGGACTTGGTGGGCTTCTTGATCTCATACATCCTTTAATTGATGAGTATTGGCTATTGCTTTTGTAATTGCATGTTGTTCAAAGGTGTTTTTGGCTCCCAATCTCTACCCTGGCTTCCAGGGGGGGTTGGCGTACGAAGCCGAATATTGAGCTTTGAAAGCACCTGATCAGGATCCAAAGGCACTAAGCCAGCTGCTGTGAAGCTATTTTTGATAGTATCAGGTTTGAAAGCTTCAATTCATGCATGTGGGTAGGCCTCAAGGAAGTCTAGTCTAATTTGTCAATATGATTGATCCCAAGACGCATTTTGGTTTCAACAGGCTGACTGTATGATCGCTTTAACACTGCAAAACAGCCAATATCAAGTGGCTGTAAAAGATGGGATGAATGTGCAGGCATATAAATTGGGATGATATCATTTTGACTGCAAATTTCATCAAATTTTGGGGTCAAATGACTACCATGGCCATCAAGGATTAAAAGTTGATATTTCCCTTTTGTGCGAGTAATTGTTGATGGAACAAGGAGCTTTTGAAGCCACCAAAGTCCAATTTCATCAAAAGTCCAGCCATTTGGGCTGACTTCAAAGTGCCAATCACCTGGGAGGTTTTTAAACCAACCCCCAATAAAGACCTTGCCTTTGAAAATAATGCATGAAGGCAAGGCCCACCCAAGGCATTTGTACATTCAATTGATGTAACGTAATTCCCGAGCCAGTCGGCCACCCAGGCCAGCCGGCCACCTGCGTATACCATATTAATCGGCACTTTTCAAGGCTCAAATATATACACCAACAACGAATATAGGAGGGTAATACTAGGTATGTAGTATATATATGGACAGTAAGAAGCAATATATCAATTTTTAAACATTTTGTATATTTTCTTTGGCTCTAAATGTTAGATTATCCAAAAATACGAAAAATACTGCTGTAATTTATATTACATTGAGAAGTGCCTATTCTAGAAAGCTCTGTGCTTAGTATATAGAACTATAGTACCATAATACTGTATAACTTAAAACTTGGACCGTCTAAATGCTTCATTGTTGAGATTTTGAGGTTATAAAAAGTGCCGATTAATATGGTAAACGCAGGTGGCCGGCTGGCCTGGGTGGCCGACTGGCTCGGGAATTACGTTAACCCATTCATGATTTCCAGGCTGTAAAAGTGATCGCCGACCATAGTATTCAGACCTTGTTACTACCTTTGCAGTAGCAGTTAAACCCATTGCAAAGCCAATCTCATCAAAGTTGTAGATATCATCAGGGTTGATGCCATATTGAAGTATTGTATGTTGCACACAATTAAACCACTCTTGAATGATTTTTGGGTCTTCACACTTTGCATGCTCATAATTATAGCGTCTTGAGAATCGGGTTGAAAGCTCTGGGTTTCGTTTCACAAAGTTATAAGCCCATTTTTCACCAACGGTTTGAACTGAGGTAGATCCACATGCTGCAAGTAGAAGATTTGCAATTTCTTGTACAGAGGTTGGCCGAGGAGCTGCTCCACAATCATCAAGAGAGAGGATCCATTTTAAAAGTGATTCCTCTTCTATTTGTGTCAATTTATGGCTATTGGTGTGGGTTTGATCTCAACTTGTAGTTCCATGAAGGCGTGTGTAGAGAGTAGACTTTGGGACTTCAAAACAGCGTGCTGCTTCATGAATAGAAGACATTTCTTGCTTCTTGATAGCCTGGATAGCTAATAAGATCCTACCCTCCTGCTCTATTGAATTTCGAGAGCTTTGGGAGCGAATTGGTGGCATAGTGGGTGGTTAAAGAAAGAAGGATGCATGAAAATGATGCAGTCACATTGGGTGTCCAGCTCACTTATGTGTCCAGCTTGCTTACCAATTACATTATTCAGTATTTTCTTTATCATTTAAATAGTTAATGTAATATATCACCGAGCTGACCAGCTGGCTGCCGCCCACCACTGAAAAGTACTACTATACACTGATTTTGGAGCCTTTCTCCCCACAAAATTGTTATATATTATCTATAAAAACAATAGTCTATTTCTCGGGGCATTTAAGCCAATTATGGCCTGTTTTACTACATATGCTGCAGATTGGTGGCCTATGCAGCCTGGAAACTGATCAGCATGCTTCCTCCACTATAGCCTCCTGTTCTTGCGCTTTTTGCAATCCTTGAGCACTGTCAGGCTCCCTCCAGCCTGTATAAAGGCCCTAGGAGCTGCTCGTCTCTCTTCTTTTGATACTTATTTTCCATGCAAAACTGGTGGACTTCATGCTGCAGCAGGATGGCATTTTACATGGTCATCACTGCCCCTCTAATGACCTTTCCCATTGCATCTTCCATAGTTGATGGGGATATCTGGTGATTTTGGAGGTGACATGGTCACTTCTTTTGGGACTCAGTCAGGTGAGAATGGAACCAGGCCAGTTGCTGCAAAGCTGCTTTGATGATAGAATCTGGTAATGGTCAGTAAGGTATATATAGAGGAATTCTGTTTTCAACAGTGTTGATTCCCTTTGCACATTATTGGTGATTCTTTGACCATATAAGCACTTCAATGGCGAAAAGCAACCAACATCCAATGGTTGAAGGAGATGACTCAGATGAGATGAATGTGGAGGCATATATAAAGGAACAACATTCCTTTCTGTACAGAATCTGTCAAATTCTGCAGTGGCATGGTTGCTATGGCCATCCAAAATCAGCATGCGATATCTCCCTAATGTACGGGAAGCTGTATTTGGCTCAAAAACAGTTTGAAGCCACTCCAGGCCTAATCCATCATTTGTCCAGCCATTCTTGCTGACACTGATTATAAAATCATTTAGAATAGCATGATACCATTGAGATTGGTGGTTGTCTGCAGCCAGAATAATCTGGGGAGGCAAAGCCTATCCAGTTGTATTTACTGCAATAATAGCAGTTACCCATTCATGATTCCCAGGCTGTAAGGCTTTGGCATTGCTTGCCTGGGTCTCTCTAAGCCACATATAACTTTGGCTGTGGATATCATGCCCATCTGAAATCCAGTTTCATCCATATTGTAGATAGCTTGCTGAAGGATTCCATATTTTTCAATAGCATCATGGAAGTGCTTATACCGGGTACCCCATAATAAGCTCTGG